CTAAAAAAAAAAAAAAAAAAAAAAAAAAAAAAAACAAGAGACCAAAAGAAAATGGAGATCTTGAGGCAGAGAAGAATCAGGGTGATTACAATCACAAAAACAAAAAATCTCTGGAATTTTTTTACTAGACTAGAAGCGCAAAGGGTTTGATCACCAGTGAAGTATGGGCTCATGCACGAAGAGAGGAAACGAAACGACATGGAAGACCACAGAATTTACATTGCCCCGCTCGTCACTCCGCCCTCGGTCTCTCCGTTCACCCTGTAATGTGTATGACAGTAATTGTTTTTTTTTTTCTTCTTCAACAGATTCGAAATATGTGAATGGAGGAAATCATGGGGTTGGGTCTACCAATGACCAAGAGATGGTGGACTGCCTGGGACATTATCCATCTCCATCTGATAGGCCGAAAGGATGCGGTGTTTCTTGGATGCATGGTGACTTTGAGGACTCAGCCCCTAAAAATAAATAAATCAGTTTTTAATTATGACGCAAATTACCATAGGATATCGTCATTGGTTTCAAGCAACGTACAGATGGATGCGGCGAGAGAATCTGAATCTTGGAGGGGACGTTCTCCTCCTCGTTCCTCGTCTCCTCCATGTACCGGCTGAGGAATCTCTTCCGTTGGTGCTGCAGCTGCTCGGGCGCGACGTTGACCCGACTGGGCTGGAGGGGCAGGCTCATGCTCTCCACGCACTCGGCGCCGAATGGAGGTTCCTCCTCCTTGGGGGACGGGGACTTCTCTTCCTTCGCCGAGCCCTTCTTCGACCGCCTCCTCTTCCGGTAGTTCCAGACGAGCCTCGGTCGGGACTTGGAGGCGGATCGGGGCTGCGACTGCGCCTGCTTCTCTCCCAGAGTCTTCCGCGTCGGCGGCAGGGGAGGCGAGGCCGACGCGCACGACAGGAGGTACCGGTTGTCGGGCGACGCGTGCAGGATCTCGTCGGCCCGCTCCGCCACGCTCTTGATCACGCACTGCGACGCGTCCGAGAGGAACGCGACCAGCTCCTTCCGCAGCCCGAACGGGATCGGCTGGTGGATCAGGTTTTGGACGTCGTTCTCCACCGTGTCCCACAGCAGCTCCAACTGCAATCAGATGACGCGATAATTAACGCTAATTAACATCTTGCTCCGAGCTCCCTCGTGACCGAAATAACCCCAGTCGTTTAAATCCCCAATAAAAAAATATTCATCTTGCCGCACCTGCGATCGGCCCACTCCCACTCCTCGCCCTCTTCAACCTGCCGATTTTTGACAATTTCCCACGACGCAACGGGAGGGCCGACAAAACTTCACTCTCTCCCGCCCCAATGCCAAATTAAAGATTCAATTTGGAGGATCTGCACGTACAATTTGGAGGATCCGCACGCGTTCCACTTTCTTCCGAGGAAATCTCGCGAGTGAAACATGCAGGCAATCTCCCCTCGCTAATTAATAAGTTTCGTGACTCAAGTCACCAAGGGCACCCCGCGACACGCCCTCGGCAACTTCCACCGCTCAATCACCCCCCATGACAATGGCGCAATCAAAATTCCAACCAGATGACTCGGCCTGCGAACCCCCACCCCTCAAAACTCGCAGAGATCCCCAAGACTCAAAATCCTGCTTGAAGAAAACGAGGAATAATTTTAAAAATTTTCATTTATTTATTTTAATTATATATTTTTATTCATTTATTTTAATTTAATTTTTTTTTATTCGTTTATTTCATTCTTATTTCTTCCTTATCTTTTTCCCCATTTAAATAAAGGAAACCCACCTTGCCCTGCTCGTTCATCCGCCCGAACCGCTTCCACATGTCATCCAGGAGCAAGAAGCCCATCTCCGCCCCGAACGTCCGAAACAGCCCCGCCAGCGCGTCCTCCGACGGCCCCGCCCCGAACAGGATCCTCAGGGCGTCCAGGAGCGAGAGGGCGGCCAGCGACAGGTGCGGCGTGTCGCTCCACTTGCACACGTCCCGCACACGCACCAGCAGCGCCTTGATGATGCACGCCAGCTGGCACGCGTCCCCGAGCGTCCCGCCCGCGTCCGCGTGGTCTTTCGTCAACGCGCTCAGGCACCCGTCCCGGTCGTCTGCCACCACAAAATTCGCAAAAATTAAACATTCAGAAAATTTAATTTAACCTAAATAAATTATAATTCAGGCTAAAAAAAATTTACCATTTCAAAAATTCAAAAAGGCAAAAAAAAATAAATCAAGAAAAAAACCTCACCGTGATCACTCGTCGACGACGACGGAAACCCCGGCCGGATCTCGTCCAGCTCCAGCGTCTCCGTGAGGTGCTTCACCAACCCCGCCAGCACCTCCAGCGCCTTCGGGCTCCACCGGAACTCCACGTGCGCGAACACCTTCTGGATCCTGGTGCAGAGCTCCCGGCACACCAAGTTCGGCCGGCCGCTCAGGTGCTCCGACATGTGCGCACAGAGGCGGGAGTAGAGGGCGCACCATTTCACGCTGTACGATTTTAGGATCGGCTGGGGGAAACAGATTATTTCAAATTTATGGCGCAAATTTTTTTTTTGCAAATTTCAAATTTATGGTGCAAATTTTTTTGCAAATTTCAACGGATTTAGTACATAAAAAATTATTTTGCGGGAAAGCGTTCGTTTTGGTATATACAAATAAATACAATTATAAAGAAAGCGATTGTGCAAATGCCATTT